CTCAGTAAATACTGCAGCGTACTCACTGACACTCATGTTTCCTTTCTTCAAATTTTGGAATTCCTTGCTCATTTACGACATGTCTCTTTCTGAGTTGTATTTCCTTTCTTAACTGTACAAGGAAGTCTTCCCACGACATATCCCATGCTTATCCCTTCGGCATAGTGATGACCAATCGTTTCCACTTGCTTAAACACCAGTCTATAGTTGTCTGGCTGCGAAGATTGTTTTCCGACTGTCGTTATAGACGTAACTCTCAAATGCCATCTCCATTTCATAAATCCAATCCATTACTGCCATTGGCGTTGGCTTTCCGGAAAGGCTTCGTGGTTGGGATGCCATGAAGTCTTCATACTTGCATCCATCTCTATTAACCTTTTCTTCGGTATGGTCCTTCCTATCCCTTCATGGTTCAGCTTGTCTAACGGTTCAACTGCAGTTTACTTCTTCTGGTTGTTCCTTATTCAACTTGGATTGGACAACTAGTGCAATAATTTCATCCTTATTCTCCTGAAGTAGTTGTCTTGTCTACTCCATTTTTCAGTCTAGCATGGACCGCATCCTTTCCTGAACTCCTGCCATTGTGGTAGGTTCGGGTGTAGGTACGACGACCGGTGCAGGACCAATCACACGCTCAGGCTCAGGCTGTCGATTTCCATTATTGTTTCCTAATGCGGTTTGCATTCTTACCATGACGTTCTATACACTAGAACAATCGTTCATGGTACACGAGTTTATTATGATAGAGAATGTTTTAGTTATGTTTAGATGCATGATCTTTGTTATTACTTTAAATTTTATATATATATATAGATATATATATATATATATATATATATATATATATATATATATATATATATATATATATATATCACATCAAACAAAAAACCCAATTACACATCCCCATTTTCTTCTATTTTTAGTCTTAAGGATCTACCCTACGAATCATCATAATCATTATTGCTGACTGTACAATTATAGGGATTTCTCTGCAGTACATATCATTAGGCTTTCTTTTATATTCATTCCTAAGGATCTATCCTAAGGATCATTAAATCATCAATGTTGATTGTATTGTTACATGGATTTCTCCGCAATACATGTCAATAGGAAGTAGAGTACATCAAACGAACATGTGGTTCATCGCTTACATGTTTATGATCTTGCTTGCGTTCCAAGGGGCTGTCATCAAATAGTCTGGTGGTCGTCATCTATACTATGTTAGATGACTACATCGCTTAGTACAATAGTACTAGTAAGTCAAGGCCTATAATTATTTTCATCTTTCATTATCCATCTCCCTCATTATTCTATTCATCCCTCATTACCCATCACTATCCAATATATTTATAAATATGAAAATACACATATGGTAAATCATATAAAATCATCTTATATTGTTTCATCTTACACATAACATTTTGCACATAAGCACATATATCATTTAATTATCTAAATACTTCATATCTATGTGTAAGATGAAAGTAACTATGCACTCACTTGTTAAAAGTGGATGCCTCGGAATTTGGGCAGAACTTTGCCTAAGCACTTAGCTTTTCCTTTGATGTGACCTAGGTACGAATATCACTAAGTCTTAGTCTTGTATTTATTTCGACTAATGATAGTCTAGATTCCTCACTAATCCCAATGTCTACATCAAAGTCTATTAAGTAAGGAATAACCACGTAGGATCATATCGGAGGTAGGGTCGGTTTGGTATGTAGAGTATACTGTTTGGAAATCTCACTTTAAACACCTCACTAAATCCAACCTAGACATCATTCCCGTATGTAGGTTAATCAGTATAATGACTTAAAATTAACGATAAATCTTATTTATAGGTTCATAATAACGACTGTGAACATAAATATAAGTTACACTGAAAGCGATATAAGTGTAGCTTAATTTACAGAGATTTTCCTGACAAAAGTCTGAAAATTACACTAGCAGAACTCCGGCCTGATAGCTACTAATGTCGGGCACTTAGGGACCCCAGAGCTTCAGTGGAATCTTAGAAACTAAGGGAAAGTTGGGCAAAATGTAGATAAAATCGTGAGAGAATAGCTAGAATGGTGTGGGAGACTGAATGAGGTTGATGAGCTATTTATAGGAAAAATTCGTAGGAGGCGCGTCGCGCCCAGACCAAAGGCGCCCCGTGCCCTGGCCTGGTCAGCCTCCCCTGGTGTGACACGTGTCAGGCATTGGCTGGAGCGACGTGGCAGTTTCTAGAAGGTCGCACGCCGTTCCTTTTTGCGCGTGGCACACTCGGGAAAACTTCAAAAATTTGTAACTTCTTCATACGGAATCCGTTTGTGGTGTTCTTTATATCCACATGTAGCTATCGAAGAGATCTACAAATTTAGTGAAGACTCCGTCGGCTAATTCTCAGTTATATTATTTATTATTTTTAGAAGGCTTAGAGTGCTAAACTCCGTTTAAAATTCATATATTTTTCATACGATATCTATTCTCGACTGTCTTTATATCGACATACTCCTATTTACGAGATATTCAACTCGTGTTTAGGTTGTTACGGCTAAAATCAACCGATTTGAATTTCGATTTCTATCCTAACACAGCTGCATTGAAACTTCGAAAAATCATAACTTCTTCGTATGAAGTAAGATTTGAATGTTCTGTATATTCACGCTCTCGGTTTTACAATTAACACGCCTTTTGTTTAGATTTCTTAGGCTAATAAGCAGTCATGTCGGTTTAATCGTGAAACTTCGAAGAAGCATAACTTCTTCATACGAAGTCGGATTTCAGAGTTCTTTATATGTACGGAATCATTGTCACATATACTATAACTTTGGTTAAGGTTATTTATCCTAAATAACCTTATATAAGAATTTCGTTTTTATCACTTATTATATCTTAATCGTCTAGCCCGAATCCGCAGGCGTTACAACATGAATGTTAACATTAGATCATCGAGGGACCCAAAGATATCGCTTTCCTGTTAAGGAAAAAGGAACAAATAAACTTTGACTATATAATCATACATTTTACTTATGATGTCAAACATGGAATTACACTGATTGACATCCAGCTACGGATGCGTTGATTCAAACCAATGTACAACAAACTTGCAAACTATGACTTATCTATCTACGTTTGAAGAATATAAGATATTATTGTCTTAGAATTAATCGTGATTGAATAAATGAAGAAATCTCTAAGCGCGGGTTTAACCAATACGTAAAATGATTATTTTCCAAGTACTCATGAATATTACAGCAATCCTCATGCAATGTCCAATCACCATGGACAATCTAAAAATATTCACTGACAGTCTTAAATCAATACCCACTCGCAAAAGCATGACTGACTGTGGCATTTCGAATACGTTAATATTCAGGAAATAACACGCAAAATGAAACAAAATAATAAACTAATTTTTCTATGACATCATGCTTTTAAATACAAATAATTCCTCATTATTTAATCACCATAAGAATTACAAATTTATCTATTGTATAAATGTTTCGGGGAAATCGACTTAACAACTAAACTTGTAAACATTTCTCATGCCAATGCTCTTAGCATGTATATCATGTTTTCCTTTGCTCATCACTATTACGAATGAATCATCGAAAATACATTCACCTCACAACTAGATCTCCATCCTCAACCCTTTTCTTGGATGTAGTGGAATTTCATTTTTCTATGTGTTGACCTTCTATGTTTTCAAGAATCATTAGTCAACTCGAATGCACTTTCACAAAATATCTATAATGACAATTTGTTACTGAAATAAATCCAAGTTCAACTATGAAGTTTCCTAGTCTAGGTACACTCCTTGGATACTTCACTTGCACTAATGTAGTCTTACTCCCATTGGCGAATCTACCCCATCTCCTTCGTGAAATCTTTCATGCCACAACGCAAAATGAACATCTATTTAGACTATGACTCAAAGTCATCTCTAAAACTCATGTCACTATAACTCTTCTCAATCATGTTCTCTACTGTCTACAAGCATCCATTCTTTGGTATCTTTCAAAATCTTAGAATGTTCTTGACATGTGTCTAGCGATTCTGTCGAGCAATTTTCTGAACAATCTCATGATGCTCAAAACATCTAAGACATCAAAACATGCATAAGTCACATCATACATGATCGATCCTATATACAAAGCATAAGTATACGTGACTCGAATCATCCTATCATTTTCATGACTAGTACAAACAATGGCGAGTCTAGAATAGAAAACTACATAGTTCACTAATTTTTCTATATAAATTTTTCTATGCAAAGTCAAAGATTTTTATAGTTAAGGTAGGTTTTAAATTTTTTTTAAGGTAAGTCCTTAAAAAATTTCAATAGAAATTTTAGACAAACTAAAAAAATTAGATGGGTCCTAGGACCCACCTTCCTTATATCTAGCCTCGTCACTAAATACGACTTTTGAGATTCAATCAATTCCTTGCTACGAAGCATATGAAAGATCCATTTGGAATTTTCCATATTGAACCTTTTTGTGCTTTGACTGAATCCTATTAAACATTTCGATTTATATTTTTAAATCCAAAGACCAAGTATCAATGAAAAAGAAACGCAATATGTATCGTCTTTAATCAAAAGTGGCTTTATTTGGGATAGAAAAATCATTTCAGTAAATGACAAAATGTTGTATTCTACAATATCGTGTGCCATTTTTATGAATATCTAGTAGTAGCAATAACTATTATTATATTTATAATTATAATTATAACTAGTTTACTTTAGACGGTGAAAGCATTGTGCACAACCTTATAACCAACATAATTAGATCAAGATAAGTGAAAAATGTAGCATAAAATAATCATTTCGATTTTCCAATGGACAATTCTGATAACTTTGACAAAAAAAAATCAAATGTTCACATGATAAATATAAAATATTTGACATTTCTAAGAAACAATCAGATAATAAAGTATTAGTAACTGAAATCTTTATGGTTCAAACAAGATATACTAGATAAAATAAGCAATACAAACAAAATAAGTTTATTGTCTGACATATAACATACAAGATATCTCGAAATTACAAATTACATATTTATTTGAAACAAATATTAGCAAAACATAAACTAAGGCCTTTCGTGTCAACGAAATACGCCGCCGCGATCAAACAAAAAAACATATTATACATGTATTAATACGTATAATCTGATCATATCCTAATGTTTATGTTGTTTACGGTATAATTCGTGTGGCGAGCAACATGATTAATCATTTGAATGTATTATCAGAAGTGAAAATCGATTTTTTGAGCTTTTGGGCTTCATTCGGCACTTTGACATTGGTTGCCAATCCTATGATTTCAAGAAATCGTATGATATACCAAGAAACATCTAGTTGCCACCACTCTAATCCATGTCGAGCTGAATTCTCAAATGCATGATGATTGTTATGCCATCCTTCTCCAAAAGTAAGCACTGCCACCCACCTTCATGATATTTGGACAAATATATGATTATGCTAATGTTTAGTATACCTATTACATTAAGACATTTGAGATACATACCAGTTGTTTCTGGAGAGATCACCAGTGTTCCAAACTTGGTTTCCCCAAATGTGACAAGCAGAATTCACCAGAAATGTGAGATGATAAACCCATATGGTTCTAACACCCTGTATACATCATTAAAAAAATTAAATTAATTTTATGTCATATTAAACACAATTGATACATATGATTTTCCTAGAGTTATATTTTTGTTAATTTCTGTTTAAAACCAAACTATCTACCAAAAATCATCAATCAAATTTGAGATACTTTCTCATATAATTACAAATGCAAAAGCAATATATAATTAATCCATATAATTACAAATGCAAAAGCATATATCTACTTATTCAAATATTTTAAAATGTATACAAAACATAATCATTGTCGCGAAGGGGTCTACATGCAGGTGAATATCATGTATATCATTGATCTTTATGTAGCCTAAAATAAACAATAAAAAGATTTATAGTAGTGTCTTTATAAAAAAAAAACTTTGATACATTAAGTATCGTAGTCAAACTTTGCAGTCGCGTCACCGTTGTTCTCGTATAGGCTAGTTTTGGCAAAATCATATAAAGTTAACAATTTTGATCCATTCCCCTATTAAGCAATCAATTTTTTATTATACCGACCTCCAATATACTAAAAAACAAAATGTATCATATATAAAAATAAAAAATGTATGAAAAAGAAGTGTTAACATATTCTAATGCCTTTAACTTGTCCCATTGCACAGTTTCAACCCACTTGTTGAATATGTGCATGTGGTCTCTTTCAAATAAATCTGTCCTTTTGTATCGGTTATTAAAATTATATAAAAAAGATAAGTTACAAAAAAGACTTATTCAAATGAGATATATCATTAATCAATGACGTATGCAGAATCTAAAAACACAAATACGAATAAGATTACTATACCAAGCCCCAAACGAAGTACGGAAAGCCACCCCAAGCATACAACACAGCCCCGCATCCTATTATATGCCACATGTACGTCTTTCGTATAAACATATAGAACGGCTGTTTTTTTAAATCTTCCACATTTTTCCGTTCCTTATACTGCATTAAACAAACAAAAAAACATTATAATATAATTATACGACTTTTTAAATCTCATAGCACGTGAGATTCGATTACAAAACGGTAACAACAATATATATACAAATGTTTAATCATAAAGTAAAGATTTAATAATTAAAGGATCAATAAAGGGATCAAATGGGAATATTGATCATGGAATACCTTTTCAAGAATGTATCCGCTGTCAAAAAGCCAGCCCATATGACTAAACCAGAACCCATTAATCGGTGAATGTGTATCTTTATTCGAGTCGACAAACTGGTGATGATATCTATGCATGCTCACCCAAAATATCGGATCTCTCTGCATGAATATATATAATCGAATAAAATTAAATGAAAATTAGATTAATATTATATAATATATAAATGATTGAACCAATGACGAACCTGAGCGGCTAGGACCCCGAAATAAACACATGTGTACTCGAGCCATTTTGGAAGTCTGAGACTATGGTGGGCTAGAAGCCGGTGATAAGAGAGAGTTATGCCCACAAGTCCGGTTAACAAGTAACCAAAGAATGCGACGGAAAACGCATCCCAGGTGAACGTAAATGGTGCAAAGAGTGCAAGAACATGAACAAAAGTAACCCATAACGCCACCTGGATGTCAATCGTCCGCCACTTTCGACCCCAAAAGTTGTTTCTGGTGCCTGTGATCACTACGTCGGAAAATGGTATTTTCCGGCTACCCGATTGCTTTCCACCGTCGGAGTCGGCGACTGACACCAATAAGTTTCTCATATTGTTGTTATATTGCGGTAAGTAGTTTGTGCGGTTCTCGTGGGTATATATAGCGGAATTTTAGGCTTCAAGTGGGGTTAGTTAAATAAATATAAAATTAGTTTATCACCCCTGAGTAATAGTTTTTTACGAAGAGCACCTTGTTATTGTTAGTTAAGGATGTGAATGTACATAAACACCCTCATGTGGAATATTGTGGAATATTGTGGAAATGGTAGTGGGAAATCGAGTATGATTTAATAAAGGGTAAATCTAAATCTGTGAATTAAAAACTAAACTCACGAATCATCATGATTAATGAATGTCTCGTTTCAATTCAACCTTGAGTGTCGTTGATTTTTGTTTCATTATTTTTATACTAAAATAACTGTAATTCTCTTAAATAAGTTTAAGAAAAATAAAACTTTCAACTCCAGCATTAAATTTGTTCATTAGAACTTGTTTTATAATCTCAACGTAAACATTCAAAATTTGTCTTTTTTAAATATTACAATAGTATATATGTCCAGTCTAATTTATAAACATCATATTTATCATTTGTTAACTTTTAAAATATTATATTTGTTCAAATCTTTATTTTTAACATTTATAATAATTTTAAATCATTAATTTTATCAACTGACTATTATATTTTTATTAGATTTATAAATCTAAGTTTAAAATATTATTTATACATTTTATAAAATTTCAAAATATCATATTTATCTATATTATAAATTTAATCAATTTTAATAATTTAAAATATATAAATAAGTAAATAACTAATTCCTATTGAAACAATTCCATACTTTTACCGTTCTTATTTTTATTATTGAAACTTGAAAATGTAAGATTAAAATATACTTTTACCGTTCTTATTTTTATTATTGAAACTTGAAAATGTAAGATTAAAATATTTCTTTATTCTGAATGTTGCACCAAAACTACTGAAAGACTTGTCATAAATATGAAAAGAAGCATCGAACAAAAAGTGTGCATTTGAGTGTTTGGGGTTTTTCGAAATTGACAATAAAAAATTAAAATTCCTTGTTTAAAAGGTTAGGGCTATTTTTCGTTTGAATTAATTAAAAAGTCGTGAGAAAGTTTGTTGTTAGGATTCTTTGACGGTGTTCGGTAAAATTAACTGGTAGCGGGTAGCTTGTGGCTTGTAACGTTTTTTAAACGCTACAAGAAGTAGTATTTGGATTTGGAGCGTTTTGTTTAAACTAAACGCTAGAAGCTTGTAGTGTAGCTTTCTGTTCAAAACGGAACGTTTTGTCAAACGCTAGAAGGTAGAAGCTCTCAAACACTCTGTGCCGAACACGCCTTTGAATTTAAACTTGTCCATATATAGTTGTCCGTCTAGGAATAGCCTCAATGTGTTTATAATCATATTTTAGTTATTCGGATTTCTCAAATGTTGTCGAATATCAATGCTTCACAGTACATCTAAGGTGGAATAATATTAAGTACTAGTTGTGAGACCCATGTATTAAATGAGTTAATTAAAAAAAATTTAAATACATAGGTCAAAATTTATGAGAACTTTGAATTTATAAGAAAATAAAAAAAATTATTATAATTCAAATGTTTTATCTTTTAAATACAAACAAATAATTTAAATAAATAAACAAAAGAAACTAATGAGGTTTAATTTGAAATTTTGAAAATTTAAAGGTAAGTGCATTAATGAAATTTATATCTATTTATTATTACATTTATTGCAATTATTACATTAATATATAATATGGAATTTAATAAAATAGAAAAACTTATAAAATGACATGTTGAAAAAAACAATTCAAAATAACCATAAAATGACATTTGGCAAACTGAATGAGAGTATAACATTTGTCAAAAAAACATTCATTTATTAGAATAGATAAAATAAAATATAAGTATATTATAAGTATATATAAATTTAGGATTTAGAGGATTAGAAAGGCTTATAATTGATTAGACCATATATATTTACATGGACACGACAAAAAATTTTAAAAAATATTTTTAAAAAAATTGTTTATAGCATAGAAGTGAAGGGTATACGATATGGATGACCACATAAGGCCTATGTCATTAAGGGAGCCCAATTTTACTATACGTACACATATATATACATTTAAGTTTAATGTACCCACATAAGTTTTGATAGAAAAAATAATAATACTATAAAGTGAAACTGAATTCCTAACAAAATATAGAGCTTGGTGAATTTGAGTTTTTAGTATCAATATCAAATATTATACATGATGAACTTAGTCATCAAAAATTTACAATAAAATGATATGTTTTGATCTCGATGTTGCTATTAAAGAAGTGAATATATTGATTGACCTTTTGAGGGTTTACAGAAACATGTTCTTTAAGACGATTGACTATGCTATGAAACTTTCAATTTGAATGAATATTGATCAGATATTCCTTTAAAAGTGTCTCGTTCATAGGAAAAAACAATTAGATGAGAATTCAAGTAATCAAGATGTTGTACTTTCAGTCAATGGGAAATTAAAGTTAATTTCTTTTTATATATTGTTGATAAATCAAGAGTTTCTCTTAAAACAATACGTGAACAATACATAAAGTATGAAAAGATTTTGGTTTTTTTTTCAAAAAAATAAAATAAAGGAAAAACTCATAAATTATGTAGTAGCGTTCTCGAAGTCGCACTTATGTATGGTGAATTATCATATATTCATGTCAATGAACTTTTTATAGAGTCAAAATTGTTTGACGTGTTGTTAATGTGTAAAACTACCAACCCACCGATGTTTTAAAATATATGAAAATAGTGGATTGTTTTTCTAATGCAATTACATATAGTTGATTATTCCAATAATAGTGGCTTAAGTTTCTTAAAATTAAAGTTGTTAAACTCTTACTTACGGACCACAATGTCATAAGAAAAACATAATGGATTGACAATGATACTTATTGAGAACGATATATTAGTGAATATTGAGTATGAATAGTTGATGACCAACTTTGCTTCCAAAAATACTATGAGAGTCTCACGATATATATAACTATGTAAAGTTATATATCATATTATTTTGCTTTTTGTTTTTAACTTATCGTAGTATTAACGAATTTTTCTTATATATATAAAAAAAAATCTACATATTTTTATTTTTCGTACATGCCCTCAAAATCAATGAGATGTCGTATATAGGATTTGACTAAAAAAATTTAATAACACTATAAAATTTTACCGTTTTATAGAAATAAAATTAATTTATAAACTATCAAATTATTCCATTTTAAAGAAATAAAATTGATTTACAAAAATTGTATATGAGAGCTGTTATTATTGATTTTTCAACATTATTATTTTTTACATCTAATTGGTTTAAGATAGAGTTAAATAAGTATATATGAAATAGTGTTTCTATTTATTTATTATTATTATTATTTTTGTATTAGTAACTGTTTTAGACCATTACAACTATTGTGAATAATAATTAATCAAATCATAGTGATAGATAGTAAACTAGTAACTTTAGTGTGTAAGAATGATATGGATGACCATTCTATGTATGTCAGATGATTTTTATGAAAATTTAGATTAATAAGGATTGAATCTAATTTAATACGAATTAAATAAAGGTAATGAGAATAGTTAATCCATAACTATTATGTTAACTAAATGTATAACCATTGTGGTTAGAGTCTTGTCAAGAAACTAAACAATATTAGAAATCAGTAAATAATGAAAAATATTCTTTGCATATTGATATTGCCATATTTATACATATTTTTAGGCAACATTTGATTGTATTTTGATTAATATTTTGGTTATTTGCATAGATAAGTAGTACTTATAAGATTAAATTATATTGTGCAGCCAAAATAAGACATCTTGAAGAATAAGGACTAAAAGCGACAATATCGGAACTTTGGAGGTTAAAAGCTTAAAAGATGAAGAAATTATCAAAAAGTCACTCTCACGACGTGAGTATTAGTGTCTCACAACGCGGGCATGGAGATTCTAGAAGATAAGCACCCGGAAGCAAGAATTCATGTTCAATACAGACTAGTACTCAACTCACGACGTGAAAAGCCTTTGCTCACGACGTGAGGAGGGTAATTTCGAATATTATAAATACCCTTGATGCTTACAGATTTGAGAGGTTAGCTGGAGAGAATAGAGTTTCCAGAGTCGTTTTTCAGAAGAAAATAAGGCAGAAACCAAGGAAGAAGAAGAAGATCATACTTTATTCTTAGTTTGGTACATTACTATGTTTTCAATTATGAAGTTTACTTGCTTGTTAGTTATTATGAGTAGCTAAATCTAGCTACTTCTGTTAGCTAGATGAAGTTGGAACTCATGGATTGGTTATGTTAGTATGGATTTTTCTAGTTGGTTAATGAATTGTGTTTGATTGTTTATACCTAGCATGCTTAATTTGATACTAGATTGCTTAAATTCATATTCTGTGTAGTTAGTGATCATTAATCTGCATGAATCTGATTACCTAGTAATTTAGTGAACATTAGATTATTAGAGCTAAGATCGAACCAATCTTAGATAAGTAATTAAAGTATTTGAATTTGGTTGTGCTGGAGAACACATATTGTGAACATAATTGTGTTTGTTAACTCAATCTTACATAGCTCCAATCCTATCTAATTATTGATTTTGTGTTAAATTATGTGTGATCATGCATAGCTCTACATTAATTTATTCAACATTAGTATATTTGGACTTGAATTACTAATAATATAATATTTGGTAACCAACAGGAATTGTCATAATTAATAGCTAACCATTGAGGGAAAGTGGATTTAAAATAACAGAAGTGTTTTTGATAATTGATTGAATAAGTTGTTGAGAATTTAAGTTTTTCTAAACTTGCAAAATTAGATAAAAACCATTTTACTTTTGCTAGAATTTTAGGTTAATTTAATACTAAGTAGGTTAAATAATTAATTCTGTTCCCTGAGATTGATACCCCGACTGTTTGTGCTATACTATTTGCGAAAGGGTACACTGCCCTGGGTCGAATAGCTAGTAGGATATGTGGTAAAATTAGGTGTAACTAT